TTGAGGCTGGATGAGATGAAGGATGGACATCTTATGCTATAAGAAGAATTCATTCCTGATGTATCTGTTGGCTGGGCTCGGTGGTGCATGCCTGTATTCCCAGCACTTTGGGAGGCTGAGGCTGGAGGATTGCTTGAGGCCAGGAGTTTGAGACTTGATTTATTTGTTCATTCAGTAACCTGTCACTGGTTGTTGCTGATGACTGGTTATTGCCAGGCCATCTGTGGGGTGCTGAGGACATAAATATGAATGAGAAATGTTCTCTGCTCGCAGGAGCTGGTCAGACCAGTGAAAATATATCCTGATAGCCATGGTGTCAGGGTTTTGATGGGAGGGTGTACTGCGGTATTTTTCGTTGTCCAGCTAATTTCTTTCTATGTTTAGTAGAGACGGGGTCTCGCTCTTGCTCAGGCTGGTGTTAAACTCCTGAGCTCAAACGATCTGCTTGCCTTGGCCTCCCAGAGTGCCAGGATTACAGGCGTGAGCCACCGCGCCCGGCCGATCACAATATTATATATAAGAGCAAAGCGTGTGTTTGGGGAATGATGAAGCCTAATGTGGCTGGATTTACAGACGAGCAGGGCAGGAGTGGGAAGTTAGGGTGTTGAAAGTCATGGTAAAGAGATTGGACTTTTCTTTCGTTCTTTTTTTCTTTCCTCCTAGTGCATCACTGAAGAGAGGTTGGGCCTTTTCTGAGGGCAGCCGGGAGCTTGGAGAGTTAGGCAGAGGGATGACACTTTACTCCTGCCCAGTCTGGAGTAAGGGTGGGAGGGGGAGACACCGAAGGTCTTGCCATTGCCCGGGAGAGGCCAGATGCTCCCGGAGGGGTAGGGCACGTCAGGATAAGTGGATTCCAGGGACAAGGAAAAGGAAAGACAGGCGGAGCTGCCTGCCAGCTGGGTGTTGGGGGAGAGGGGAGAGGTGAGCATGACGTCTGAGTTCCCTCCTGGGCAAACTGGTGGCGTCTCCCACTAGAACGAGAGCCCAAAGGGATCTGGTTTGGAGTGGAGATGCTGAGCTTTGTGTAGACGTGTTGAGCTAGAGGGAGCTGTGGAGCAGCCTTCAGCCGCCTGCCGCCCATCCTTCCCACAAGTGTTTGCTGAACCCAAATTGTGGGCCTGGCGCGAGCAGGCCCTGAGATCAGCAGCAGAGAGACAAGGTCTGGCCTTCGTGGTGGAGCTTATAAACTGGTCAGGGAGCTGTCCGGTCGGGGAGCTGTCCGGTCGGGGAGCTGTCCGGTCGGGGAGCTGTCCGGTTGGCGCTTTAGCATAGGCGCGTGGGGGAGAGGTTCAGAGAGAAGCTGAAAGCGCTCCTGGGCGTCAGGAACTGGTCTCCATCCCCTCCTGCCTCTGTCAGTGAGCCGGCAGGACCGGAGCTCCCAATTCCTCATGGGGACTTTGCTGTCACCAGGGAAACAGAACCTGTGTAGAAGGAGAACCCTGGGGCGGCCACTGGAGGAGAAGAAAGGCCCTTCTCCTTCCCTCCAATCAGAGCCCGCCTCGTCCTGGGGGTGGGCACTGGGGGCCGGAGCCCAGGCCAGGCTGACCTTCCCCGCCTTGGTCCCCAGGCTGGGGAAGTTTGCTGTTTTCGTCCACGCCAAGATGGCCGAGCTGCAGGTGAAGGACCTGAGCTTGAAGCTGCAGGGCATCCCTGGCCACGTGTTCCTCCTGCAGCTTCTCCACGGGCAGCGCACGAAGCACCAGTTCCTGCTGAGGGCCCGGACCGAGTGAGTAGGCCTGCGTGTGCGGACAGGGGACCCCCCAAGGTAGATACGAGGCTCACCTAGGTGTGAGCAGAGGGCAGGATTGGGTGGGCAGAGCAGTGGTACGTGCCCCGCAGGTCGTGCCCAGGGCTGGCCATCTCCTCCCCAGCCTCTGCACGTCTCTCTTGCATGCAAACCTCTGCTATGGCTTTGGGACGGAGGTGTTAGGCAGGACATGGGCCTGTTCTTATGCTCAGAGCTGAGTGGGGCACAGGCTTGGTTGTGGGGTGGGCCCCGGGGTGGGGCAGATGTGACCTGGGTCCTGGGTCTGGACATCGTACCCGGCTCTCCCAGCCCTGGTCTCAGCACCCTTTCCTGGGCGACTGCACTTTGCATGTTGTGACAACTCAGCCTCCCCTTCCCTAGAAGTGAGAAGCAGCGATGGATCTCAGCCTTGTGCCCCTCCAGCCCCCAGGAGGACAAGGAGGTCATCAGTGAGGGGGAAGGTAGCAGCCTGCCCCGAGCCATGTCCCTGGGCTGGGTTCCCTCGCTCTTCCTGTCTCCCATGCTGGGTGCCGTGCTGCGGGCAGGGCAGTGGGCAGGCCGGGTGGCTCTGAGGAACCTTGAAGCCTGGGTGGGACTCACAAAGGACAGGTCAGCCCCAAGTGCACAGACAGCACCCTGGAGATTACCAAGGCCTTTACAGGTGCCCATTTCATCCTCACAAATGCCCAGTTCACAGGTTAGAAAACAGAGGTTCAGAGGTGAAGTGACTTGCCCAAGTTCACCCAGCTAGCAAGTGGCAGAGCTGGGACTGGAGCCCAGGCCTGTCTCTGTCTTTGCATCGGTTGCAAAGAGGGCAGGAACCTGAGTGGCCCGGGCGCATGGGCTGGTGGGAGTGGTGCTGCAGGGTGGGGGGATCTGCTCTGTTTGGGTGGAGGCTTCTTCTTTGGGTGCGAAGTGAGGCTGGTAGGCCTGGTGCAGCCCAACAGTAGAGGGCCTTGATCTAGGGGGGACGGGGTCGCCATTGAAGGTTTCTGAGTCAGGGCCGAATTAGGTAGCGAAGGGAGGGAACTTCCCACTGGGGCTTCATATTTGCATTTATTTAATCCTCACAGTGATACTACTAGGTAGACTCGTTTTCTTCATTTTTCATATCTGAGAAAACAGAGGCTCGGAAAATTTAAGTAACTTGCTCAAGGTCACATAGCCAATAGGTGGCAGAGCTGGGATCCAAGCCGGGTCCGGCTCCAAGACCTGTGGGTTTTGATGCTACCAGCCCACCTGGGCTGTTGGAAAGCGCTGAGGTCTGGCACGGGCCAAACTGCCTGGCTCGAGCTAGGAGTCCCACTTGGGCTGAAGGTGAGCGCCCTGCTCCAGACAGGTAGGCCCCTGGGAAATGACACCTGACCCTGAAGAATGAGAGGAGTCAGCCATGGAAGGATGGGGGGGGGGTGGTGCTCCTGGCAGAAGGAACAGCCAGTACAAAGGCCCTGAGGCAGGGGGAGCATAGAGTATTTGAGGAGCAGCGGGGAAACCAGTGTGGTGGGAGCTCTGTGAGCGGGGAGTGTGGGGAGTAGCGAGGGTGGGGATAGCAGGGAGGAGGTGATGCTAGCAAGGGGCTAGCACCAGACCACGCAGGGCCTTGGGGGCCCAAGAGGATGGGAAGTCCTGGAGGGCTTCACACAGCGGGGTGATGTGGCCTGAGTCCCAGTAGGAAAGGATGGACTGGAGGGAGCAGCAGGGGGCGTAGGCGAGGCCATTACTGTTCTGGGTGGGGGGGCAGTTGGACGGTGGGGCCTGGAGGCCAAAAGCAAGGTATTGGATCGAGCTGGGCAGGGGAGAGCCCTCGGCACAGAGGCAGCACTGAAGCCAGGAGGGACTGGGGTCCTCCGGCTCTTGTGTCTAGGGCAGGAGGGGAGAGGAAGAGCAGCCAGGGCGGGCAGCATCTTGCACGGGGACCTGCAGCATGGGAGGGGCAGAGGAAAAGAGCTGCAGCGGCCACCCTCCCACTACTGCCCCTCCTTGCCCCGCCCCTGCGCCTGCCCCATCCTGCCCCCAGGACTCCCTGACCCTGCCCTGGGCTGTCAGACCACCCCCAGGTTCAGTGCGTTAGGACGTACAAGGCACTGCAGCCGGATGAGCTGACCTTGGAGAAGACTGACATCCTGGCAGTGAGGACCCGGACCAGTGACGGTGAGAGGGGCCTCCTGGGAGGGCCACCCTGTTGGGGCTTGGGTGGCAGGAGGGAGCTAGATGGCTAAGACATTACAGGGAAAAGTTATGCAAGTGTTGATCAACCACAGCATGTGGGAATCAGGTTAGACAAGAGTAGGCACTTCCTGCTTGTAAAGTTGCAGGATCAAGAGTGACAGGGGAGAGTGGGAAATACCCTTCTCAGGGGCTGCCAGGAAAAACAGGTCAGAAGTTCATCGAAAAGACAGCTAGCGGGAGGGTCCTTCCTGGAGCCGGGGGATGCTGAGATGATGTCACCTCGGGCCCAGGGTGCAGACGGGGCTTGCATCAGGGCTGAGGCGTCCCGCCCAGACCTGGCCCTGGTGCCTGGCCCTCTGATGCCACTGATGCTGCTCTGGGCCTTCGTGTCCCTAGGCTGGTTGGAAGGGGTCCGCCTGGCAGACGGTGAGAAGGGGTGGGTGCCCCAAGCCTACGTGGAGGAGATCAGCAGCCTCAGTGCCCGCCTCCGAAACCTCCGGGAGAACAAGCGGGTCACGAGCGCCACCAGCAAACTGGGGGAGCCCCCCGCGTGATGGGTGGCCGTGGCCTGGGACAGCTCTGGAGGGGGCCTGCAGTGTCTCCATGCCCCAGGCCACTGCTGCTGGCACTTGTGTTCTGCGGCCCTGGCATTGAGGGCACAGGCTGGACACGGGAGCAGGGGGCGTCCAGAGGGTCTCCCCCGTCCTCACGCTCCTCAGTGTTCACACTTCAAGGCCGAGGGCGGTTTCTTCGTCTGGCATGGGGGCCACGACAGGTCTATCTGGCAAGGACGGGGGCCCTCTCCCTTTCGTGCCCTCAACCCTGCCTGACTGTTGGTCCCTCCGGCAGGGGCTGGCCAGGGAGTGCTCTGACCTGTATATACCTGGAGTTTTCACTGCCACCTCCCCTGGCCAGAGCCCTGAGTGGGTGCTGGTTGCTGTGACTTGTCTGTAAATAAACTGCCACAGTGCCTTTGCTTGGAGTCTGTGAGCCACCTGACTCTGCGGCCCCTCCCGCCAGCCCTGTTTCCCCAGCTAAAGACCGGGAGGGCCTCCAGCTGCCTCCCGATGGGGGTTCGCCTTTCTCTGGGGTCCCTCCTTAACCATGTGTGGGAGACGGGGGCAGAGGGACAGTATATCAGTTAGGCTGCTTTCAGCTGCAGTAACAAAACGTCAGATTCAAATAGACTCACATATTAAGTAGATGCCATTAGTTCTTGTATTCGTTTCCTATGGCATCTGTAACAAATTACCACAAACTGGGTGACTTAAAACAACAGAAATTTCTTCCCTCACATAATTTTAGAGGCCAGGGGTCCAAACTCAGTATCACTGGGCCAAAGTCCAGGTGTCGGCAGGGCTGTGCTCCCTCTGGGGCCTCTAGGGAGACTTGTTCCCAGCCTCTTCCGGCTTCTGGGGGCTGCTGGCATTCTTTGGCTTGTGGCCGCGTCACTCGTTCTCTGCCTCTGTGATCACTGTCTTCTCTGTGTGTCTGTATCAAATCTCCTTCTGCCTCCCCTGGTAAACAAGTGACTGCATTTGGGGCCCACCCAGATAGTCTCCCCATCTCGTAACCCTTAAATCACGTAAGACCCCCCCAACACACACCCCTTTTTTTTTTTTTTTTTTTTTCTGAGACAGAGTCTCACTTTGTTGCCCAGGCTAGAATGAGTGCCGTGGCGTCAGCCTAGCTCACAGCAACCTCCATCTCCAATCTCCTGGGCTCAAGTAATCCTCCTGCCTCAGCCTCCCGAGTAGCTGGGACTACGGGCATGCGCCACCATGCCCGGCTGATTTTTTCTCTATATATAAGTTGGCCAATTAATTTCTTTCTATTTATAGTAGAGACAGGGTCTCGCTCTTGCTCGGGCCGGTTTCAAACTCCTGACCTTGAGCAATCCGCCCGCCTCGACCTCCCAGAGTGCTAGGATCACAGGCATGAGCCACCGTGCCCGGCACATATCTTTCTCTTTTTTTTCCCATATAAAGTAACACAGGTTCCAAGGACTAGGACATGGGTATCTTTTGGGAGCCATTTGTCAGCCTACCACAGTTCTCATAACTGAGAAGGGTAGAGGAAAGGAGGGCTTCAGGCAAGGCCTGAACCAGTGGCTCACTGATGTCACAGAGGACCCAGCTCTTTCCATTTCTCTACTCTGCTGTCCTTGGGGTTGGCCTTACCCAAGGCTTCCAGGGGCTTCTTCATTCACAACTACATGGAGGAAGAGAGATTGTCTCAGCATTCCAAAAGTCCTGAGGTTTCCTCTGATTGGACCTCGGGGATGATCATGGCAGCCAGGGGACCGAGTGTGCTGACTTGCCTGGCCTAAGTCACATGCTCTATCCCTGCAGCCAGGCGGGGGCATTGTCTTCCCTGGAATCTCACGGATCCCCGAGTGGAATTTGGTGGCTGCTGTGCAAGGAGGGGTAGGTGCCGGGGAGGCCGATGTTTATTGAAATCCAAGTCACCCAAGAGGGTGGAAGGAGCTGGAAACAATGCTCTGGGAGATGTGCACACGTGAGGGATGGGAGCATCCTCCAGCCCTCAGAAAAGCCATGGGGCAAAGAAAGCAGATGAGTCAGGGCGGTTTCAGCGGCAGATGGGGAGACGCTCAGATCCACAAGGGCGTCTTTGGGAATGACTTTCTAACGTGGAATGGTGCAGGGTCGGGACCACTCCTCCAAGGCAGGGGTGGAGCTTATGGGCTTGGAAAGTGGACACATTTGAGTTTGAATTCGCTTCTGACATTTATACCCCATGTGATTTTAAAGAAACGAGCTTTTTATTTTGGAATACTTTTTTTAGATGTACAGAACAGTTGCAGAGATGGTACAGAAAGTTCCGTGCGCCCCTCGTACGGGTTCCCCCATCGTTAGCGTCTTACATGACCACGGAACAGTTGTCAAAGCTAAGAAACCAGTGGCGGCACATTGCTGTTAACTGAACTCCAGGCCTCATTCGGATTGCACCAGTTTTCCCACTGACGTCCTTCTCCGTTCCGGGCTCCGGTCCAGGATCTCGCATTGCATTTGGCTGTCACGTCTTAGGTCTTCTCTGGTCTGTGACAGTTTCTCAGTGTTTCCTCCGTTTCCATGACCTTGACAATTTGGGGCGTCCTGGTCAGTATTTGGTAGTCTATCCCTCAATTTGGGCTTATGCGATGTTTCTCTCATGACTAGACAGGAGTTATGGGTTTAGGGAGGGATACCACTGAGGTAAATAAAGTGCCTCTTGTCATGTGACACCAGGAAGCATGTGATGTCCATGTGACTCGTCACTGGTGACGTTGGCCTTGGTGACTTGGCTGAGGTTTTTCTCCCTTTCCATACTCTGTGCTTTGTTTTTCTTTCTTTTCTTTTCTTTTCCTTTCCTTTCCTTTCCTTTCCTTTCCTTTCCTTTCCTTTCCTTTCCTTTCTTTCTTTCTTCTTTCTTTCTTTCCTTCTTTCTTTCTTCCTTCCTTCTTTCTTTTTTGAGACAGAGTCTCGCTTGTTGCCAGGCTAGAGTGGATGCCATGGCGTCAGCCTAGCTCACAGCAACCTCAACTCCTGGGCTCAAGCTATCCTCCTGCCTCAGCCTCCCGAGTAGCTGGGACTACAGGCATGCGCCACTATGCCCTCATTTTTTCTCTATATATAGTGGCCAATTAATTTTTTCTATTTATAGTAGAGATAGGGTCTCGCTCTTGCTCAGGCTGGTTTCGAACTCCTGACCTCGAGCAATCCGCCCGCCTCAGCCTCCCAGAGTGCTAGGATTACAGGCGTGAGCCACCGCGCCCGGCCATACTCTGCTTTGGAAGCGAGTGGAGCCCGCACTCAGGTTGGGGTCTATGCTTCACCCCCTGGGGGGTGCATCTGCGTGTATTATTCGGAATTCTTCTATTAGGGAGCTTTGTTCCTTTCCCTCCCTTTATTTGCTTAGTCATTTACAGTGGAGCATAGCTTAGCCATGGGGGTAGGAGAGTTCATCGTGGCGCGAACATCGCAGAGTGCCCTTGTCAAACCTGGATGGCGGAGCCCGCTACGCAGCCAGGCTCTGTGGTTTGGCCTGCTGCTCCCGGGCTGCAGACCTGTACCCCGAGTTACTGTACCAGGACTGCAGGCAACTGTGACACAAAGCACAGCAGCTTTTCAGCTCCATTAGAATCGATGGGACCACTGTCATAGGTGGTTTGTCATTGACTGAAATGTTATATGGCACCTGACTGTATTTCTACCAGCATGGACCTGTGCATTTATTTATTTTATACTTTGGGTTATAATCCAACATTGTGTTATTTATTTTATAGTTCACATTGCTCCAGTTTGGCCAGTAGGAGCTCTTTCAGATTAGCTCCTGTGTCTGACATACTTGCTTTCTGGCACTATAAGATGCTCCAGGCTGGGCGAGGTGGCTCACGCCTATAATCCTAGCACTCTGGGAGGCCAAGGCAGGTGGATCGCTCAAGGTCAGGAGTTTGAAATCAACCCAAGCAAGAGTGAGACCCTGTCTCTACTAAAAATAGAAACAAATTAATTGGCCAACTAAGAATATATAGAAAAAATTAGCCAGGCATTGTGGCACATGCCTGTAGTCCCAGCTACTCAGGAGGCTGAGGCAGGAGGATCGCTTGAGCCCAGGAGTGTGAGGTTGCTGTGAGCTAGGCTGATGCCACGGCATTCACTCTAGCCCAGACAACAGAGTGAGACTCTGTCTCAAAAAAATAAAAGATGCTCCAGGCTCATTTTGCACTTTTTCTGCCTCATGCTAGAGTCAAGTCAGCCATTTCTCTAAGGAGCATGATTCCTTTTATTTTGGAAAGTGGTGTTTAGAAACTAATATCCAGGTGTGGGTGTGCTCATTGCTACTGAGGTGTCACTGCTCCTAGGCCCTCTCACAGACAGAGGTGCCATGTGTTTTGGGGCAAGACATCAAGCCTCCTTAATGTCTCCTTAAGGCTCTAAGCCTCAGTTAACTCATCTGCAAAATGGGTATGACAATAATGGTACCTATTTCACGGAGCCACTGTGAAATAAAGTATGTAAGCAGTTTACACAGTGCCTGGCCCGTAAGAAGTCACCACAAGTGGGTGGCTTTTATTGTGCCGGAGCTGCTCGGAGCACGGGGATTTAAGGAACTCCGAAAGTCTGGGAATGGGATTCCTGCACCGAGTGAAGACCAAAGGGCCTTTGTGCTGCTTCCAGTGCTGAGTCTGCACGGGGAGGCCGAGGCTGGCAGCAGGCTGGCAAGGCAGAGGGAACAAGCTCTCCTGCATGCAGCCTGCCCTGGCACATCTGGATTCTGGCTGGCACCTGAGTCTGGGATAGGCTGCTGGGGGCCACAGGGCCTGGCTTTGGGGCCGTGCTGTCAGGCAAGGAGCCTGGGGCTGCACGAGGTCTCACCGGGCCCACTTCCCTCATTCCCCACCTGCTCCCTGCCCACCTGCCCAGGGGGTAGATCCAGGCCAGGCATCTTGGGGGAGCCCCTCTCTCAGTGGAGCCTGCCTCTGCCTACTGGGCCTTGCCCTGGCGATGGACGCAGGGCCTTGGCGATGGACACAGGGCCCTGCCCATGCTTGCGGCAGGAGGGGGAAGTGTGGGATAGTATCAAGCAGGACAGCAGCTGGAGGTAGGTACGTCTGGGCCCGGGGCTTTGACCTCTGAGGCTGTCTGCCAGCCAGTGTCCAAGCCAGGGGCCATCAGGAGCCCCCTACCCACCCGGTGCCCACACCCTTTCCTACAGTGACTGAGGGGACCCTGCCGC